GCGAGAGAGACACTAGCATAAGGACCATACTTCTTCCTCAATCCTTTAGCGAGACCAGTCAGTATATTACCAGCTAATGCCACTACCAATACATTACTGTCCTTTGCTATAACCTGGAGAGGATGCACAATATAGTAATGAAATAAAACACAACAATATTAACCGTATAGGGCTTTATTTTGGTGATTTTGCTGTAAAATTGTAATTAGCAGTTTTTAATTTGGCGATTTTTGTGTACACATGCATTACTGAGCATGCGCATTAATGATTGGTGGTTTTAATATTGGTAATTCTGCTTGCAGACCGCCAATCGCCAAAATAAAACTCCGCCAAATTAAAGCGCTATACTGTAAATAAATAAAGATACTACCAAGAGTAGATACACTTTATTCTTAATGAAATTATAGTGCATGTACTTTGTACCTTCTTCAGTGTTTTTATCAATTCCCCATAATCTCCCTCTTCTATTTTTGGTGATTGAGCTAGAGGTAATACAGCTTCAAGTGCTTCTTTACGCTCCTTCCATTTAGTGTCCGCCTACAAATATAATTTTTAAAATCTTGTATAAAAATAATAACTAAAAATTTTAACTCAAAACTTAATTTAAACTAAAACTTACAATTTTCTCATAAAAGTCTTTCGGCATTTTTCCCAAGACATTGACTGCCTCTAAAAGATCGTATGGATCAATCGCTGGTGCAGTTACCACGGCAACAGCTCCGCCTACAAACAGTAAAATAAAAGGTTAGTTCATGAATCATAATTACCTAAAGATTCATCAGGATCAGTGTCAGCAGTGGGTGGGGCTTGAGCGGCAACTGCTTGCTGGGAACGGAGTAGTCTTGTAGGAGCTGGTGGACCTGAATCAGTCAACTTACCAAACTCTTCTTCTAACTCTTTCATCTATTAACAATTAGCCATTAGACCACACCCACTAATAACGAAGTACCTGTATAGGCTTCAGCTTCCCATCAATGGATGCTTTTAAAGCCACGCCCACCCACCGATACAACTCGATGGCTAGAGCCTTTGCCTATAACATTAAAATTAACAATAATTATTATTAATTGTTATTAGTAATTTACCTCAGCTCGTACATTCTTGTCACTATGATCAAACATGCTTGGAACTGACTTCAGTAATAACTTGATATTCAACACTCCTATACCAAACTCTCTGAGGAGAAGAGGAATGAAGAGGAGTAATTGACAAGAGAGAGGAATCAACGTAAAGTGGGACAAGAAGGACATACAAAACTATAACTGTACACTATACACTATCGTACTACATGTACATGTGTATATGAAAATGTAAATATTAGAGAGAGAATTCAAGGAGAGAGAGGGGGAGAGGAATAAAGGCAATTTTGGAGGGGGTGAAATTTTGGTGAATTTCCATATTTTAAGGATTTTAAATTTGCAAATTTGTGGGTGGTCATAAGACATTTGAAATATGGCTGGTTTAATTTTGGCAAATGGTGATTAAATGACAACAATAACAAAACTCAAGCCCCTCAAAAATTACAACACAGAGCACTTAAATAACTAACATACAACGTACAGAGCAGTATAGAGGGACACTAACTTTAGTATTCTTGCTACTACTCCAATACAAGCAGCAACAATCTTTGGCTGCTTATTAGACAGTCCTTTTAATATTTCTTCCTAATTAAAGAGCATGCAATTAATTAGTGGGTGGAGTCACTGGGCAAAATACTTACAATGACTAGGTCTTGTTTCTCAGTCTCAACGTACATCAGACATATGGACACGCCCAGTTCCTTTGTCTTAGGACGAGCATTAAGACACTTAGTTACAATACCAGCAACAACTTCAGAACAAATTCTGGTGGGAGAGAGAGAGAGAGAGAGAGAGAGAGAGAAGTAGAGTAAATGCACTTAGTATAATAATGCAAAGTAAATATTTCCCCCATGCTTATAAATAGAAAAATAACATTATCAAATTAACACAAAATAATGACTAATAACTAATTAATTTTTTTTAAATACTCACTTTCCAGCCGCAGAGGCAAACTCTACAAAGGCCAGCGTTGCTTCAAGTGCCTTCTCTTGAGCTACAGCATTTGCTTCAACAGGAAACTTACGAACCAAAGGAGTGTAAGGATTGTACTCTGGACTGGACTCATCATCTATTTTTTTAAACAACTTAGTCGCCTCCTCATAACCCATTAACCTTGCCTTCCATACCTAAAGGGGAATTAAATAAGAAGGAACATGCATGTACATATATTATATCAAAATCATTATTATAATATTATATATATTTGATGAAGGGATAGTCTCGTGAAGGGATGACACAGCAATTCTCATACTTTATGGGCAAGTTTGGCTTCAATTGAGAGCTTGGAGAAATCCTCAGGGGGTGGTCCCTCCGCCATTACTGAAAAGAGAGAAGCCTCAGGAAGAGAGAGAGTAAGAGGGAAGAGAGTGAGTCCGTCCTCCTTTTAAAACAAGTCTTCCCGGGAAAGAACTGGCCAACCAGAATGCAAGATTGTAGACACGTGACTAAACTTATTAACTCTGGTTAGTTAACTAGACTAGCTTTTACATCACGTGATAGGTTTCCTAGCCTGGGATCTCTGTGGTAAAAATGGCAGACAGTGAAGAGGAATTTGATGATTTAACAGTACATCAAGCTTCACCTGACCAAGGACTGGGTCTGCAGGAGGAAGAAGAGGAGGGACGGGAATATGGGACAGTTCAAAGGAACCATTTTGTTTCTTCTCTCTCTTTCTTCATTGAAATCATAGTGACACTTATACTTTACATTTATGTTCTTGTTTCATTTCTGAGACACCTCGTACTGCCAGCCTCCTTCACTCCATTAGTGGTTCATCAGTATCGCAGTGATAACAATGTCACTGATGGTAAATAATAATAATTATTTTGATAATAATAAGTGGTGCATGATAATGTGTATATACATAATTGTTTATACCACAATATGTATGATTTCAAAAAATAAAATTTTAAACTAAAAAGTAAAATCTTCCAAAGTTCATGTAAATTTAGTGATTTGAAATTTTCCCAGCATCCAGTATAATCAATTATATTTTATTGTATACATTTTAATTTCTCTTCATAGTGAATGCTTTGATGAAGGACATTGGTTTTAATGGACTCCTAATGTTCATATTTGTTCTCCAGCATTCTTTTATGCATTGGCTAAACATTGATGCTGTTCTCCACAAATTGAACATGGGCCCTTTCTCTCGTGCCCTCTACACCATTACTACCTGCATCGTACTAGAAGTAAGTAATTACAATAGTATTCATTTCAAATACCTATTATTATTATTGTTACTTTTCAGTTTATTCACTGGCTATGGAGACCCATCCCATACCAGCTGTGGCACTGTCCCGATGACTCTACCCTCTTTCTTAGCATCGTGGGAACCATCCACACCATAAGCTGGTGCTCTATGGCATTGTCACTCTTCACTGTAGACTATCTTGAACTACTAGGAATTAAACAAGTAAGTCTCCTTCTCCTTTTATCCATATTAATTTATTATTTAAAAAAAATAGCTATATTGTCATTATAAAGGTCTTGAATCTCCCTTATCGTCGAAATCAGAGGATCACAAGGGGCTGTATAGTCACATGCGTCACCCTGTCCTCCTTTGTCCCATTATTGTCCTCTGGGCCGTACCCACCATGACATACGACCGTCTACTGGTCGCCGTAATGATTCCATTGTACTTGATATGGGGCAGCAAGTTAAATGAAAATGATGTCTTTTATGTTAGGGAGATGTTCAAGGAAAAGAAAATGTCACTAAAATATAACTGATGACTATAAAATATTCCTTTATTATAATTATTATCATAATTTTATGTAGAGTAGTGTTCCTTTTTTCAATTGTTCTTTATTTCTTTCTTCCTTCCTTATAATTGCTCTTTTAGTTTTGATTCATTCCTTTTCTCTCTCTTTATCTTTTGTACACACAAATTCCATCATTCACTCACTAATAATTTAAGTATTTGTTATTGTTGAAATGAAAGAACAACCAGCTCCACTACCAATGATAACATTTAGAGTAGGAGATTCTGAAGTCGATTTTTCTAAGTCATGTGACTTTGGTAGCAATACTAAACCAGGTGTCAGTCTATTACTAGTATCAGCATTGCCACAACTGCCATGCTCATTCCAGCCCCATGAAAATAATTCTCCATCTCCTAATAAACATAATAATACATGTAACTAGATGAATGTAAAACATTAAGGGGCTCAGCCCCCAGGCCAAGCTATCCAAAAGGCTATACTTCCTACAGCTACATGTACACGTGTAAATACATAAATCTTGATGAAGTTATCTTGGTTTAAAATTATGAACTTTCATCATCAGCTCATGACATTTTGGATCAATAAAAGGTTGTGTTAAAAGCTAGAGACAGTACCTGCTGTCATAGCTTATACATGTCAGTAGTTGTGCATGCTTCACAAGTTGAGGCTGTTATTCTACATCAAATTTTTTTGCAACAGTGGCATATCTGCTTTATTAGCCTTCCTTGCCATTTTAAGGGAAATATTGGTTTCCCTATTCTCATGCAGAGGAAATGCAATATCATATTACTTCTTGCTCTAAAAGTAGTAACAAGCTCACCATTAATGGCTAAATTATGCTCTGAACCGCAACAAACCTGCGAATAATAATAAATCATTATTATGTTGGGTCACTGCTAACTTGCTGTACTCCATGCAATGATGATATCTCTTGTGGCTGATACTGATCAATAGTATTACCAATACCTAATTGTCCATAGTCACCTCTACCCCAAGAATATATCATTTTTCTCCTCTTGTCTTCTCCTTCTATCTCCTGTCCTTAAATTTTAGTTGTTACAAAGATACCCTTACTTACTAGTAACAGCAAGGCAATGACTCCATCCGCAGTGAATTTCAGACACGGGTGGTAATCTATCGACCTTATTTGGAAGTAGGACTAGTTTAGAGGCATCACCCACGGCATTGTTGGGAGGAGGAGCTCCGCATTGTCCGTGACGATTATCACCAAAACAATACACATCACCTTCGACTAAAAAAGAAAGAAAAAAAAGAAAGTGCTAAAGAGCCTGAATAACAGTCAAATAACATTTTAAACATTTATTTTTAAAATCCAATTTTGATCGAAATCAGCACAAACTTTCTACATAACGTGTAAGTATATACAATGTATGTACATGTACCAGAAACAATTATAAAAATCTCCTGGCCATTTTGGACAAAATTTGGCCAAAGACCAAATAGTCTTTGGTCATTGGCCCAATTTTTGAGCAACTTTAGAAATTCATAAAAAAATCCAAACTTGATTCGAATCAGCAAAAACATGTATATGTATCAGAAAAAATTATAAAAATGGATAATTCTCCTCTTGTGATTTTTTTCAAATACCCTGTACTACAGTACAGGGTATTGGCCCAATTTTTACAATCCACTGACAAGAAGCTGCATGAGCACTATGTCAAAATCCTGTGGGAAATCTGTCAAATTGTTTCATAAAAATAGCAGATCAAATTAAGCAATGTTCAGAAGCAATGTCTGAACATTGTTTAAAAGTAATTTCAGGCTTTGAAAACTAAACCTGTTCTAACTGCAGTGAAATGAGATCCAAGTGATACTCCTTCACATATCATGCCAGCCATTGATGAAACTAGAAAACATATTAAGTGGCTATTCAATATCTCCCTTTAACTATCTATGTACCTTGTGTTGGTTTCTTAATAGTTGTAAGGTCAGGGTGTCCTAATTGTCCTTTCTTGCCATCTCCCCAAGTAAAGAGACTTCCAGTACCTAACCAACATACCAATCCCCAACCTCCTATGTCTAATAAATTAGACTCAAGTTACCATTAATAGCAGCAGAATGTCTTAATCCAGCTCCTATATCAATCACAGGCTCACTGTTAAATGCCTAAACTAAAAATTAAAGATATACTTTATTCATAATGGACCCACAGCTTTGTCTAGTATTATGTACAATGAAGTGTTTCCTGATTCTTGTGCTCCTCCTAACTGCCCGTACTTATTTGAGCCCCAAGAAATAAGTCTACCATGTTCTAATAAAATTAAAATAAGTTGCTATGAGCAGAAATGTACTTACCATCAATCGCTAGATTATGACTCCATCCACAAGCAACTTTAAGAATTTTAGGTAGGTCTGGAATATGTTTCGGAATATTTAATGACTTGTCTTTCTGTAACAATTGATGTCCTAATTGTTCCTCTTTGTTCCAACCGCACGAATAAAGGTCCCCATTACCTACATGTACATGCATAACCCATCATAATTATTTTCTCTCACTAGTTAGTAGGAGAGTGTGAGCCCCTCCCCCTGTGATCTGCTGCCATTTTTGAATTGGGTTTTCTAAAAATACAGGAGAGCTTTGGTCTATAGTATTTCCTATTCCAAGCTGACCATAACTGTTAGCTCCCTATTAAATGAATAATTAAATGACAGAATAACATGTTTGTTGTTTACCCACGAAAAAAGGAGAATGGATTCACGGGCAGAGGCCGCCATTGCTCCACTGCGCATGCGCAGAACTCGATTCGAATCACGGCGGGAAAATATCCGCCCACCTTTTATCGCAGCTCGCAGTTTATTTTGCTGGAGGTGTCACCATAGATTAGATAGCAATCTCCTTATCTTCCCCCGCTTTCATTCCAGCAGTGTAAGTTATATGTTTGTACAATACTGCTATTATATTTACACTCGCCCACGTCTGCTTTAGTACAGCATTTTTGCAGCAACCACCGATAGCAACACAGTCTTTCCCGCGAAAGTACATTAAAATTATTATTCGTATCCATGGTAGCATTGTATTTGACTCTCTCCGTCTCTCTCGCATTATAGATCAGAAAGGAACAAAGTCCTGTGTTGTTTGAATGTACCACTATGATACCTGCATTTCCTAAGCAAACTCTGGCACCATTGAACAACAATAGTTGCTTGATGATGCCAAAACTGCAGCAACAAGCTCCACAATTTTTTTCAGTTATAGATGACAGCTTGACTGATATACGTTGGCTAGGAACAATGGATCCTCATTTCCCTCCACTGGAAAATACTGGAAATAGTGGAGAAAACTATAGGGCTTTCAATCAGCCTGGGGCTGGACCTAAAGGACGTAAGAAGCTAAGCTATGGGAAACCTAAACAGCAGCCTACTAGTGATGTAAAACCAAATGCAGATTCTGAGAGCATTCGTCCACCTTTCTCCTATGCAGCTTTAATTTCACTAGCAATAAATAGTCACCCACAGAACATGCTTACATTAAATTCAATTTACAGGTGGATTGAAGACAACTTTCCCTTCTTTAGAATGCCAGAAGCAAGAGCTTGGAAGGTACATACATAGCATTACATTTTACTGAATTTAATTATTAATTTTTATAGAATTCAATTCGACACAATTTGTCCATAAAAAAGAATCTCTTCCAAAAGGTCTACATTGATCCACCAAGACGTGGTAACGGAGCCTATTGGACCCTCCTCTCAGAGGGACAGGAAGAAGTGGAGAGGTGCATGAAGCTGCTGATGACATTGCGCCCACCAGTCATAGACCCATCATCGGTCTACCTCAATCAGAGTGCCACCAACTCATCACAGGTTATACGTAGTAAAGGGAAATTTGTGCCCTCGCACTGTGAGTCTTCACAAAAGGAGCGTCGAGATGTATTATCATCATCGCCCAGCCTTCACATGTCACCAATCTCACTGGCAGATAAAGAGAACAGCAGCCAGCCAGGAAACTTCTTAGTTCATCCTCTGGAGCACCATCACTCCACTTCTTATCCACAGATGTATCCACCTTCAATCCAGCCTTTTCTCCCAGCACACGTACCATCTCAACACTCTTCCGTAGAGAAGCATCAATCCAGCAGCGGTCCTCTAGACACTAGCAACAACTCCCTGCTTGATCTCTCTTATCTCACTCCGCTAAAAGATGAGCTTGCTCCACATTTTCCTGATATAAACAACATCTCGTTATCACCTTTCCTTTCCTACTGGACTGGATCAAAGCCACCCCAACAACCTGGCAGTGGCTACAATGGAAGCAGTGGATTCTCAAGAACCCCCAATACAATCACAGGGCTCTCCCCACTCTGCACACCCTCAAAACCATACTTGGGCATCAATGCTTGTGGTGAGATTGGAAGTGGAGAGAGTGGCATATACTACAATAGTAGTACTCCAGTGAAGGATATAGGGGAAATCCTACCAGGCTGCACGCCTATAAAATGTGTAGGAGGTGCTATGGATCCCAACAGTAGATTGTATGCATGTAATACAACCCCGCTGAGACTAGCAGAGTTCCGCCATCTTTAAAAAGATTATAACTGATAATTACAATATTAACAACGAGTGAGCATTTACTACATTATGGTATTTTATTTGTCACATATTTTAACCCACCACAAAACTAATTATTATTATTATTAGACATAAAAGTACATGTATATAATATATATAAACCTACCTAGCTACTTATAAATATTCTATTTTAAATAAGCCTATACTAATTATTATTATTTATTTTATCTTGTGTAAAATTTGTATTAATTAGAAAAAATCATCATGAAAAATTAATCATAAAAACAGTATAAAAGTCATTAATGCTTGTGAACAACATACACACACATCATACAAGAATCAATCATGTATACACTTGTTAATTGAAATGTTAACAGTCAACTAAAGGAGTGATCTCACCTCTTTCCGTCTTTGATGAATGCCTGTGGGTTATCTTTTTTCAGTTTAATCTTCTCCTTATCAAATCCGTCACAAATGGATGATAGCTCTGCTTTCGTGCGTCCAAACACACTCTCAGTCGTCTTAGCATCCAATTCACGAGAGATCCTCTTAAGATAATTGCAACATTGAGAGAGGAGCTTGTAATGTATGACTAGCTTGTAATGAGGTTGCTTTTTAATGTTCTTTGGTAGCCTTAGTCTTCTTCTTTTCTCCCCCATGGGATTAGCTCCCTCGTAATCTTCCCGGACCATGCGTTGGACATCTTTGAGATGCTTGTCCCAATTTTTGCGTTTCTTTGCAAAATAAATCTCGCCCTCTTCCTCCATGATCTCAGTCAAATGAACCAGCTGCTGGGTGAATGTCTGCCCGGTGAGTTTGTGACTCAATTCAAAATTGACTGCTTCGAATGCTATCTGTCGTACAATTATATGGACCCTGTCATAGCTAATCTGATCAACAGCATCTTGAAGCAGCTCCATACTTTCTACTGGCATCACTTCACTGAGCTTCTCTTTACTAGTACGAAAGAGGTACATGTTCTCGCTGTAGAAATGATACATTGCTATTGTTATATTCTTGAGTACCTTAGCCTGTGAGGGAGTGAGAGGCTCAAGACGACGGAGTTTTTGACTTTCGATGGCCATTTGTGAGAACTGATCCGAGAGATTTGATTGAGATTTTGCTAAATCGCTAACCAGTTTTGACTGCCCATCAACAATATCCATTGAATCAACAAGCTTCTGATATTGCGGCAGCCATATTTCAATACGTGACTTGAATGTAAAGAGTGCTAAGTGCAACTGAGAGAGACAGTCCATAAAATCTTCCTCCTCCTCTTCCTCCTCCTCACCAGCTGCAGACTCCATCTCATCAATAAGTATCTCCTCTAACTCACTCTCACACATCCTGCAAACCGGCAGGAGTACAGTGGCATGTGGAGAGGTAGGTGTACCTACCTTCCCATTGATAGCCCATTGAGGAGAGGAGCAGCCATTGTTGGGTAGGAAAATAATCAGCTCTGCCTTTGTGCAAGAAGAGCAATAGACTTGACCACAAACACGACAATTCACTTTCTTTGATAATTTCTTAAATGAGCTGTGACAATCGAGACACTGGTGGGACCTACGAGGCTCCTTCCAGTGAGGGCTCTTCTGCCAGGCTGGTATGGACAGCATGCTCCTTATCCAGCTATTGCTACCAGCAAAACCAATTGTTAGCCTATTCAACTCTTGCTGTACTCGCTCTCTCTTTAATTTACTATTAGCCGTCGTGAGAGAAGGTATGGGCTTAGAGAGTGACTCCTCTTCTTTCTGTCGTAGAGAGGATATCAAGTGATGCCTCTGATCCAAAAAAACTCGTGTCCAATCATATTCATTCCCGATATCATCAACGTCAGTGTTGAAGCAGACATTGCAGACGTGACAGGGTTTGCCTAAGGTAGGGTCTGGGGTAGCATCAGGTGATAACTTGCGACGGAATGACGTACATTTTTGACAGAACACTTCACCACACATGCAACAATTTCGTTTTTTGATCAAACGGGAGAGCTTCTGGGCACATTTAGGATCATAACACTTGTCAGCTTTTGAGGAAGGCTTCCAGTGGCTTCTCTTGAGCGTCTCTGAGGCTGAGGGGGAGAGGGACTGCTCCTCTGCTTGATGATATTTGTGGCTCAACTCGACTGGGTTGAAAAACTGATCGGCGGCGACTGATGTAGATCGCTCGCTGTAGTGAACCATACGCTGAAGCATGTCATTAGTAGCCATTTCCCCATAAATGTTTTGTCTAGGCAAATTACGAGAGACGTAGCTGGCTCCAGGTTGAAGAGAAGGAGGCTGCTGGTAGCCACTGGGAAACGATGAGTGAGGAGTAGCCATTTTTGCATATGATACTAGTACTAGTAGCTAGTTAGACCCCGCCCATTCTAATAGCAACATATCCCCGCCCCATAGCAACAAACCCCGCCCGCAAAGACTCAACATTGCCCGCCCTTAATAAAATGGCGTCAGAACAGCATCTTATTAAGATGATTTGTTTATTTATTTATTCTATAGAATTCATCTCAGGTGGCTATTCTTCAAGCTCGACAAAGTGTACTCGCGGAAAATGCTCTTTTTACTTCTTCCCTTGAGAAAGGAGCTGATCCTACCAACATTGCTAACCAGGCTTTTAATAGTAAAATACCAGTAACTTTGAATTACGTGAAATTGATTAAAATATAATTTTTTAGATCCTACCAGGTGCTGCTGGGGCTCTCAATGCTTTAGCCAGGTTCCCGTTGAATAATGGAGGAGAGATTGTAGAAGAAGAGCCATTATACATGTATGTCAACACTAAGCAATTTTACCGGATCCTAAAGAGAAGACAAGCAAGAGCAAAACTAGAGGCCGAGGGTCAAATACCAAAATCAAGACAAGTGAGGAGGGATGGACTGACTGAAATTGGTTCCAATTTTTCCATTGTAAAGTTTGAGCCGATTCAAAATTAATAACTTACATGTACATGTATGCGAATTTTGCTTCATTAAAACACTCCCATTGGATTAATTTTTACTACCCTTAACCATTTGAGTTAAATTTCCAATAGCAATTTTTTGAGTTTCAATCTCTCATTTCAGAAATATCTACACGAATCAAGACACCTTCATGCTCTTAATAGGAAGAGGGGGGACAGCATGGCCAGTTTTAGAAAGGAAACATGCACAATCCTGTATCAGGAGGTGGGCCTAAGCAAGGCAGTGATGACCTAGAGGAGGCATTATGAGGTCTAATGGACAATGGTCTGCTTGAGCTTCCATTCTTTACTTTATAAACACATTCATATATTATATCAATAGCAGTTAGTGTAATAGGGAACATGTTTTATAAAATTTGTAATGTATTTTATTCATTTACTCGTAAAAATCATTTTTATTTAATTGACTCAGTGTTACAAAAATTGATTATAGGCTAGTAAATTATGATATGAATGGTTTGATTTTTCTTAATGTCCCCACTCTTGTCATAAACATTATTTCCGTATACGATCCTACTCTTGCTATTAGGTAATACATATAATGCCACAGTGTCTATTATGGTGGCAGAGGCCAACTCCTGATACTAGCTATAGTAATAAACTGGAGAAAGAGAACATAAATTCATTTGGCTAGTCCAGTAAAATCATGATATGAATGGTTTGATGTTTCTTAATGTCCCCACTCTTGTCATAAACATTATTTCCGTATACCATCCTACTCTTGCTATGAGGTAATACATATAATGCCACAGTGTCTATTATGGTGGCAGAGGCCAACTCCTGATACTAGCTATAGTAATAAACTGGAGAAAGAGAACATACCTATACAGAGGAAGAAAGAATTGTGTCTTGAATTATTTAAAATTGATATTTTATTTTTGTGTATGCACATGTAGGATTGTAGGCTAGCATTTAAATGTGAACCATAGGATTAATCAATATTATAGCTAATGCAAGCTGCCAGTTTTACTGATTTATAATCTGAGAGAACAAGAGAATATTTATAGTCTACGATATACCTCAACTCTCAGTCTGTTGAAACTTCACCCTTACTGAGTATCATTTACGTAGCAGCTGCCATTTGCGACCAGTTCCATCATGCTTTATTTCAATAATAACAATGTTATAAAAACAAAAAGAAAACAACAACTAAAGAAAAATAAACCTAAAACAAACACAAAAATAACCAGTACCTACAAATTTTATTATAAATACAACCTTTTTGTAATTAATATAAAGTTGGAAACTCTGCTACATGACGGTCTAGCCCTGACTGCTTACTCCAATTCTTACTTCTATTTCTGTCATATCTATTAAACGTACCTCTTGCAAATTCGTAAAGGGTGATAAAATTATCCTCCTTTATCATTCTATCCAGAACATCTTTTTCAGTGCTGACATTTTGACGTCTCAAGAGTAAATGTTTCAATTTTTTCTTACTATTAATAGACAGAGCATCACCGAATACCAAATCCATTGGTGTAAATGAGCAATGAAGCCAGAGATGGGTGAGATTACCGTATAGTGCTGGATCCACTGGTAGTTCGATAACTTTGATTGGTGTACAATTAATAATAAGAACAGAAAGTTTCTGGCATTTCTGAAGAATGCTTTCAAGCCCTTCAATATTGTACGACTTGAGTGAAGCAATACATGCAGCAAATCCAATATTGACTCCCAGATATAAAAGAGACTCCAGATTTGATATCATTGAAAGCAAATGTTGACTAATAAAATAATCTAATTCTTCAGTTTCAGTAGCATCAACGACGTGAAGACCTTTGAGTCTGGTCATTCTCTTAATGTGACCAATAACCCTTTCCTTTACTGCCAATTCTCTATCAGTTAGGACTCTTAATGGATGTTTACCAGCCTGTGAGTTGGAGTTAAGTGGTGAGAGAGAGCAGCATTTGACTAATAAATATTCCAAATATTTCATTTTCGACAAAAGGCTCCAAAAATGCTCTACATCAAAGTTGACGCTTACTCTGGAGCTACTAGAGAAACAAGACACATCCAATCCTCTTAGTTTGAGGCAGTGTACAGATAATGGGACCATGTAAGCGTTAAGACAATCGGATATAATACTTCCCTTCAAACTGACCTCCAATACGTTAGGGGTATCCTTGACAATTATACGAAAGGACTCTAGTGATACGGTTACGCAAGAAAATCCAAGTACGGTGATGTTAACTCCATATTGACTGTTATAAACTGACAGGCCAGGAGTGACAGCTTCATCTTTAAAAACAGCATATCTTTGGCTAACATCATTATTCATTGGCGTGATCAAATCCCTCATTGTAACCAATAGCTCCCCATTAACAGTCATAGCAACAGATTCGGAGCTATTGGGGCCAATTTCGACCGAGTACTGGGGTATGTCATAAAAATCAAAGTTCAAAGGTCGGCGATATTTCCTATAAGCTGCAAAATAAGCAGAATGATTTATATTCGGAAAATGGTGTATATTCCTGGACCAATATGTCTCGTTATAAACTGAAATGACAATAAATGTTTGTGGCAAGCAGTTGTTTAACAACCATTTCTCAAACAGTTTTACTGGTTCAGAATACATGTAATTATAAACCAGTACAACTTTTTTTAGCTTAGCAAAAATTTTGAAATATTTGTCCAAAGAAAAAGGCAACTCGTAAGCAAAAGTGAGGCTTAAGAACTGCAAATGGTGTAAATCTGAATAAATCTTCTTCAAAGCAAAGACAGAAATTTGAAACCCATAAAGATTTAAACTAGAAATGTTATCAGATCCAAGAAGCATTTCTTGATATTTACTGAATGGTAGTTCTCCCCTTAAACTCAGTGACTGCACATGTGGGCGACATGTTTGTAAAGCCGACTTGATGAATGGAGCATTTGTATTATGATAAGCATGATCAATGAAAACGTTTCTCCACAAATGGGGATCAGAACATATCATGTAGAGTCTTCTATTGACTAATCTAAGGGACATCTTGTCCCTTAGTGAGAGCATCATGCATATCTCATGTATTACCTCATTTGGCAGTAAATCAAGCTGATTTGCAGCAGATTGGTTCACAGTAATGATAGAAGGTTCTGAGTCATCGTCAAAATCACCATCAGACTTGTCATCGAAGAGAGAAAGATCAAATTTAAGTCTTTTACAGCAAGATTCACCTTCAGCTTCGCCTTCAGCCATTGTTAATACTTGATACACGAGAACTCACATGGTATAGAACTCACATGGTATATTGCGCATGCGCACAAATAACAAATCCACGCCCTTTTTATAACAACAAACCCCGCCCAAGTGTCATTAGTAATGATTAGTGCCCGCCCTTAAGAAAATGGCGTCAGAACAGCAACAACAAGAGGCTCTTGCTGGTCTCATTAGCGAGGTACTGAGCATTTTATTATTCTTTTCTGATGAGTTATTTATTTATTCATTCTATAGAACGCATCTGAGGTGGCTATTCTTCAAGCTCTACAAAGTGCACTCGCGGAAAATGCTCTTTTTACTTCTTCCCTTGAGAAAGGAGCTGATCCTACCAACATTGCTAACCTACTATCCTCACTCAATAGCTTACAAGCAACTCAAATGCTAATGGTAATTAGTTATTAATGAATAGAAATAATTTCAAATTTCATGAATTTAAAAATTTTATTTCCTTAGATGGTGCCAGGTGCTGCTGGGGCTCTCAATGCTTTATCCAGGTTCCCATTGAATAATGGAGGAGAGATTGTAGAAGAAGAGCCATTGTATGTCAACGCTAAGCAATATCACCGGATCCTAAAGAGAAGACAAGCAAGAGCAAAACTAGAGGCCGAGGGTCGAATACCGAAATCAAGACAAGTGAGGAGGGATGGACTTACTGAAATTGGTTCCAATTTTTTCATTGAAAGTTTGAGCCGATTCAAAATTAATAACTTGCATGTACAATGCATGCCAATTGCTTCATCAAAACACTCCCTTTGTATTACATGTAGATATTATTTTTTACTGCCCTTAACCATGAGTTTTTCTCTTTCATTTCAGAAATATCTACACGAGTCAAGACACCTTCATGCTCTGAATAGGAACAGAGGACAGTATGGTCGGTTTCAAAAAGGAAACGTGCTACCTCAACCTAGTGGAGTCTCTTCAGCTTCTTCATCCAGTGCATCATCTTCTAATCCTTTGCAAAAAACCTCTTCTACTTCAATTGGTGCTTCAAGCAGTGCTACTCTACCAATACACCATAGCACTCCTTCAAGTAATGGCCAGTTTAATACTATCAGTAATAATATTCGACATCAGTCCTCAAGTTCTTTTCAAGGCAGTGTAATCCATGATAAGAGTGTTTTTGATATTACTAGTAATAATGCTACTATGACTAATAATGGAATGACTAACACTGGTAGAGTTTATATCAGTACAACTGGAGCTGGCATACCTTCAACCTCACACACAAGTAATGATGCTAGGCTATCAGTGACGCCTAATGCAAGTCTTCCCTCTAGCACTCCAGTCATTGTGATACCACCACCTCCTGTTGGCACTCAACAGACCACTGAATCTAACTCTACCATTAAATCGTCTACTACTAATATCCAAGGAGGATTAGGTAGTGTGGTAAATCCTTCTACTAGCATTCAAGGAGGATTAGGTAGTATAGTAAATCCTTCTACTAGCAATCAAGGAGGATTAGGTGGTATAGTAAATCCTTCTACTAGCATTCAAGGAGGATTAGGTGGTATAGTAAATCCTTCTACTAGCATTCAAGGAGGATTAGGTGGTGTAATAAATCCTTCTACTACCATTCAAGGAGGATTAGGTGGTGTAATAAATCCTTCTACTACCATTCAAGGAGGATTAGGTGGTATAGTAAGTCCTACTAGCATACAAGGAGGATTGGGTGGTGTAATAAATCCTTCCAGTTCTGGTGGCAATGTATCAGGAGGTGGGCCTAAGCAAGGCAATGATGATGTAGAGGAAGCATTACGAGGTCTAATGGACAATGGTCTGCTTGATCTTCCATTCTTTACTTTATAAACAGTCATTCATATATTACCAATAGCAGTTAATGTAATAGAAACATGTTTTTGTAATGTATTTCATTCATTTATTTGTAAAAATCATTTTTATTTAATCGACTCAGTGTTACAAAAATTGATTTGGCTAGTCCAGTAGAATTATGATATGAATGGTTCAATTTTTCTTCTTAATGTCCCCACTCTCGTCATACACATGTTTCCTGTATAGCATCCTATTAGGTAGTAGATATAATGCCACAGTGTCTATTATGGTGGCAGTCAATGTGAGGAGACCAACTCCTGATACTAGCTTTAGTAATAAACTGGAGAAAGAGAACATGCCTATACAGGGAAAGAAAGAATTATGCCTCGAATTATCTAAAATTGATATTTCATTTTTGTGTATGCACGTGGAAGGCTGCAAAAAAAAGCTTTTGCTGATTAATCATTTGAGAATATTTATAATCTATATACCTAAACTCCCAGTCTGTTGAAACTCCACTCTCACTGAATATCGTTTACGTAGCAGCTGCCATTTGCGACCGGTTCCATCATCAGAGTGAGGAGGCATAGCTGGAAGTAACTGCTTTGAATTGTAATCCATATAAGGAATGTGTCTGACTTGATAAGAATACTCAATATCACTGGAGAGGAGAAAGAGAGAAAAAAATGAGAGAAAGGAAAACACAAAAGGAAGGTTAATAGATTAATGCAGAATTAAAATTTCATTTTGTGTCAACTTCAATTTTTTAGTATTTATTAAAATGCATTACCTGGTCCCGAACCATGTATTAAACCAGTTTTGATAATAAATTGATACAATTATGACCACTCCTCTTTGTCTGATACTCTGTCCTTTGGCATTCAGAGCATCGCTGGGTTCATCCAGTCCAGACACGCCTCCAGCCTCTAATAGCTCCTGTAATGTGATTTTATCTGGTTTTCCAGGAATGCTCAATTTTCTAATTAATGCCCCTCTAGAATCTAACAAGTACCCAATCATCTGACGCTTCGAGGCAGCGAGTTGATCACGCCCACTACCAAAACGAGACGCCACAACGGCATGATCAACTTTAACGAGAACATGTTCCGGACCCAGTGTGAAATATTGAGTTTCGTTGATCCCCTCAAACTCATCGCTGTCAGGGGAGAGACTCAGAGACGCCTGTAGCTTGTCTTTAGCAAAAGTCATGATAGAGAGAGAGCGTGACTCGACTGGCCAGTTTAATTCATGCGGTGTCTCATAATAGCAGGATATATTATTAGTTATTGAGTGATTACTGGTACAATAGGATAGAGAGGACGCATTCAGCAATGGAAGATCATCTGATACTACAGCACGTACAAAACCGACTGGTTTAGAATCAATCTGATATTAAGAGAGGAAGCTATGCGTTATGATTTAAATTGTATGATTTTACCTCGAGGTATCCTTTATTGTAGAGTATCTCAACCAGTGTGTAAAGTATGATGAGACCAGCAAGAATATAATAAAACAAACCTAGTCTAAAAATAGACTATATTATGACTAAATAAGCCTAAATCTCTAGATTACCTGTAATCCTTTAGAACTACATACTTATAAGTGACATAATTTAACATAATTAAGAGTTAAGTCCTTGTTAAGCACTCGTTGCTAAGACCCTTTGAGAAAATAACGAAAGAAAGTAAATACCACGTGATTTCCGTACACTCCCGGATACGGTATTTAATTTTGACACCGCCCAAATCTGGAATATTTTCCGTGTGACAATTTGTATTTTCAAAGGTGGTGTCTCACGTGATCCTTTTTCACATGGCGGACGAAGGCTCCATAGTTGAAGTGACCGAACTAAAAGCAGCTAGTACTGCAGCCGAGGAGGAGAGGGAGGGAAAAGACAAAAAAGAACAAGAAACGGGAAAAGTTTTATATGATGCCTCGCATCAGCAAAAGACTGCGGACCTACTGGATGGGGCTCAATCATTGATCACAGTCGTCGTACTCTGCCTGTGCTGTATTGCTTCATTCTCCAGTCGTTTGTTTGCTGTCATTAGATTCGAATCAATCATACATGAGTTTGATCCATGGTAAGAAAATTGCATACAATTACCATTAAAAATTAAATAAATAGATAATAATTATTTACATGTTAAAAATATGGTCGTATATACATATACAGTGACACCATTGTTCGATAAAGATTATAAATACATGTAATTTATTGGCAATAATTAGTTTTTATTTGTAGGTTTAACTATCGATCAACACATTACATGTCTGAGCATGGCTTCTATGATTTCCTCAACTGGTTTGATGACAGAGCATGGTACCCCCTGGGGAGGATTGTTGGAGGAACAGTACGTAACACATTATTTTTATTTATTATTTCAAATAATTATTTCTTTTAAGGTATATCCTGGTCTAATGGTCACGTCAGGGTTCATACATTTTGTACTTAATTCTCTCAATATTTCAGTTCACATTAGAGATGTCTGTGTGTTCCTTGCACCAACCTTCAGGTAGTACTACATGTTTTTATACTTAATTCACACACAAAAACTGCAAGATTTTATCATCCTTTGTTTTAATGTGTATAGTGTAAAATTATTATTATTATTATTATTATTATTATCATTATTATTATTATCATTATTCTCTAGCTATTTATTTTGTTTATTTTCACTTTCAATGTGGTATAATTAATGTATTTGTTTCTCTCTTAGTGGTTTTACTTCCATTGCAATGTTTCTCTTCACTCGTGAGGTTTGGAACACAAGAGCTGGTTTGTTCAGCGCCTGTTTCATTGCCATTGTACCTGGTAAGAAAAAAAAACAGCTGGAGGAAATGTACATGTGTATGATAATTTAGGTTACATTTCAAGATCTGTTGCTGGCAGCTACGATAATGAAGGAATTGCCATTTTTGCATTGATGTTCACATACTTCTTATGGATGAAATCAGTAAAGACAGGATCTGTATTCTGGGCAGCTGCTACTGCTCTCTCCTACTTCTACATGGTAACATACATTTGTATTTGAAAATTATTGCACTCTCTCTTCTCCCTTGATCTCTCTCTCTCTCTCTCTCTCTCTCTCTCTCTCTCTCTCTCTCTCAGGTGTCTGCTTGGGGTGGTTATGTCTTCATTATTAATCTTATTCCATTACATGTTCTTGTTCTAATGATAATTGGTCGGTTCTCTAACAGAGTATTAGTTGCTTACACAACTTTCTATATAGTTGGACTTGTATTCTCAATGCAAGTATGTGTAACGTAGTAATACGGTCAATATTACTGTGTGTTAAAGCTTTTAATATGACAGCCAGTATTGTTTGTGATTTGTATTGGCTGCTTTTTGGCTGATTGCTGCCAAAAAAAGAAAGAATTACTATTTTTAACTTGGCATATGTCTTGCTTTCTTTGTGACTAGGTCCCATTTGTTGGATTTCAACCAATTAGGACCAGTGAACATATGGCAGCAGCTGGTAAGAGAATTACATGTACATGTACATGTTATTACTATTACTACTACTACTCACTCTTCTTTACTCTCTCTTCCTTCCCCTTTTTTCCCCTCTTCTCTCTCTCTCTCCCCAGGCATGTTTGCTCTCTCCATAGCGTACAGTTTCTTGAAGTATGTTCAAGGGCGTGTCACATGGAGACAGTTCAGGCAGTTGTTTATTGTGTCAGTGATAGTATCAGCTGGTCTAGTGTTTGCAGCTGTAGTGGGTCTCACTTATGCTGGAGTCATTGCTCCTTGGAGTGGAAGATTCTATTCACTTTATGACACAGGGTGAGGCAGAAGGTTGAAAGCTTTGAATTTAATTTATGATATCAACCCACACATTGTCATGGCAAGTTCTCACTTGCAAAAAAGAAACATGTCAGATATGGAAAAATATGGAAGAATATAGAATATTATAGTATATTTGTAATACAGTTTGTTTCCATTACTGTCACCAGATCCCTAACTTGATCTTTGTGCCAGAATATCTATCAGAAATTCTTTCACCACAATTAATGTTGGGTGTAGTCTGGTCACTCCCCTTCTGCAAGAGGGAAGGTCTGGTGACACTGCTCAAGAATTTTTTCTTGCAGAAAGGAATGCAATAGTACAGTACATCCTCGATTATCCGTACCTCTTTTATCCGAACCCTCGTTTATCCAAACGCATGGCTGTCTCTAATGCACATGCTCAGACTAGTTAATTTATTAATAACCGGTTAAAATGGCTACTGGAGCAAGGAGTTCACGGAGCTTAACCAAGAGGAAGGCCATTAAAGAGAAGCCTGAGATGGTTTGCGAGTTAGAGAAAGGAAAGTCATGCACATTTATTCTTCAAAAAAGTATAGGATAGGTCGGTCTACTGTATTCTGCGTTGCATTTCACTTATTCAGACTATTTCAGCTATCTGAACATCTCTCCCAATAGAAGTGCACAGAGGTGTTCAGATAATCGAGGACGTACTGTACTTATTTTAGTTACTAGGCAAATGTAAAACATTAAGGGGCAAGCAAAACGATTAACATTTTTTGATTAGCAATGTACATGTACAATGTTTAGACGTTGATGTAGTCACATAAGACTAAAAATCTTGATGTCAACACACTGATGCAGAATTTGCATAGAAAGAAATTTTATAGCTTGTTCTTCTACCTTTATGAGTTAAGAATCTCTGCAGTTATCAAAGTGATCTTGCTTATATCATGAAAGATGATGGAGGCCGTGGAGCAGTCACTGTCTCGCTGCTAGTTGTCAATCTAGTTCTGATGAGCCAATGGAAAGCTTTTATTCTGAAATTCAAAAATATTTTGTAGCTGCTTAACTTTCTTGCTGCTTGAGAAGTGTCTGGATAACAAATTTTATTTTGCTGCAAGTAAGCTCAAGCAGGGCCGTTGACAGGGGGGGGTAGCAGGTACAAAAAACCAGGGCCCCATAAGAAAGAGCAGAGGGCAGGGGCCCCATATCCTGTACACAATTACTTTGTTAGCTACTTATGAACATCTACAAGAAAAGAAACTGAATATACTGGACTCCGTTGAGTGATTTCTTCATTTCTTAAGCTCAGCGGTTTTATCCTTGTCTGACAGTGTCCATTTTATTAATAGATAAGAACTTTAACTTTAATATTACGTTTTAACTAATAATAACTACCGGAAGCCACGCCCCTAATTAATATGCGCCAAATTTTCAGCGCGCTTCGCGCACCGCAGATGCCATTCCCCTATGCTTTGTACCACCAGGGCCCCCAGAACCCTGTCAATGGCCCTGAGCTCAAGACTTTCTCCCGTTTCATCATAGCCTTCACAGTTGCCATTTTTATTTCATTGCAACCACACCCACATCAATGAATATACAATATTTAGATGTCACAATTAAAGCTAATTTTGACGTCAATACACATGCAGAACTTGTGACTTGCATGCCAAATGGAAGGAAATTATATAGCTTGCTCTTCTAGTTTTATTGTTAGTAAGGAATCTCAGCTGTAATTTTTAAGCATATATATAATTTAACTATAGAGCTAACCATGCAGAGCAGAGTACTACTGCTAAGCGTTCTTTTCTCTGAGCCATTCAAAATATATTTAAACTTTTATATTCTGTCATTCAACCAATTACCATGATTAAAGTGACCCTGAAGATTTATATCTGCTTTCTTAACTTCTCTCTGCTGGAGAAGTGTCTGGACAACAGATCAGTTTTATTTTGCTACAAGTAAGGTCAAAATTTGCTCGAGATTCATAACCTTGATAGTTGCCATTTTATTTCATTGCAACCACACCTACATCAATGAAAAAAATTTTTATTAGAATGCTACCACATTTTCATTGATTCATAAATAGATAGTAGTGCACACATGGGTATAACCAGGATAGGCATGGCTGGAGACGCACATGCATACACACAGAGTGAGGGAGACACTTGCCCTAATAATCACATGACTGTCACGTTTCTTTTGAGGTGTTTTCTTGACATGTAAGCCTCCTTAAGTGAGGAGAGCTAAAGCAGTTAAAGGCAAGAAGGAATCTATCAAAGTTCTAGTTAATTCAAGGACAATATCTGCAGGGTGAAGAAATCTGTATATGTTTTAACTAAGTTTATTGTGAGAATTCTTCTGTTACTTCCTCTACAGTTAGTTTCTGTTCCTTTGCTAGCATTTATCGTATCTACAGCAGGTTTGTCAGTCATACTTGCAACCATTTTGATTAGACCATGTGATAAAGTTACTTCCATGTGAGTGCAGTAATCTGATTGGTCCACTCAAACCTGTGCTTAGTGTAGCAGTTTCTGTAGCAGTGTCACCAGACTATTGCACCACCCCACGTAATGAAGAGGTGGGATTAGCTTGGCTGGGAATTTCTTAGAGCATCTAATGCACATTGTACATAAATGTACATGTGCCTATAATTTTATTTCTTTATTTGGAGATGGCTGACTAGGCATCTCTTCTTTTAAAGGCCACCATACATGGGGCAACATTGTTGCTTGCAACTTCTGTGGTTACTTTGATCTTGTAATCATCTTGTTCCAAAAATAGAACAGAATTCTATTCTTAGACACAAGATCAAAGTGACTACAGAAGTTGCTAGCAACATGTTGCCTAGTGTATGGAGGGCTTAAGGCCTTCATACACGAGGCAACTTGTTGCTAGCAACCAAGCAACATGTTACCAAAAATAGAACATCTTTCTATTTCTAGCAACATGTTGCTTACAAGATCAAAGTAACCACAAATGTTGCTAGCAACAAGTTGCCTCGTGTATGAAGGCCTTT